ATCGTAAAACATTCTTGATAATGATTTTTAACTGAGTAAGTATTTGTTTGAATTTTGATAAAAACCTTAATTTTTTCAAAAAAACCCCGTCCCCAAAGGGTTAATATTCTATGCCTAAAAATTTCCTACTTCCTGGTTTTCTTTATCTCTAATGATGTGTATGAATAATCTCAGAAGCAAAAATAGAATAGATTAGACGAGTATATTTTTATTTTTGTAAAAAAGAAATTCATAATTCACAATTTTATTAATATAAATAAAGAGAGAACCGGATATTTACTTGTTCAATTGATTTTAAAATAAACTTTCAGCGAATAGAATGATATGATGTTAAGAGAAACTTAGGTATGCACCAATCTGACCAGTCCTGAAAAACTTCTAACACCAGTCTGGACCGGTCTCAGTGTGAAAAAGTACCAGCCTCTACCAGTTTTTTCACTCATTTTAGCTCAGCATATTTCTCCAAGTCTAATGAGATTAAAAGACTGGTAAAGACTGGTACTTTTTCATATTGAGACTGATCCAGACTGGCTTTTCGAAAAATCACCCAGTCTTGCTAGACTGGTGGATATCTAAGAGAAACATTCAATAAATAATCAATTTAATTTTATATCTCAAACAAAACACATCTATTAAACGGACTATTTATAATAAGAAATTACGCTTTTAAAATCTGTACTAATTTTCTATACACCATTATCTCTTTTGAATATATTATTAATAAAAGAAATGTGATTGTGATGGATTATAGATAAAAAAAACAACCAAATATATCCTGTTAGAAGTGTTTAGAAACTTTATTTGAAAACTAGCAGATATATGTCAATAATCAGGTGTTTTTTTTTCTTTTTTTGAAACATCTGTTTTATTACTGTTTATTTATCATTGTACAACAATATTGTTAACTTGTACTATTTGAGTATTGTGTACGTATATCATCGAAAAATTTATCCAAATCTTTACTTAACTCTTCCAATTTTTCTAACCTACAAGAGACAAATATTCATCTATATATATATCTATATATTAAAAATGCTAAATCTTACTTTAACTCATTATTATTTAATGCACAATGTTTATTCACGTTGAAATTGGTATTGGCTATTTGATTTTTTTTATTATCCTGAAATTCATTTAAAAATTTCATTTAATTTAATCAATTATATTTCACTTACATATGCAATAATAAAAGCTTCTTGTTGTTGTTGTTGTTGTTCAATATTGATAGTTGTCCTATGATCAAATATATCGAATTGAAACCTATAGTTATTAGTATCTCGATCACGATGACATTCAATCATATTATAAGCAATCTTTGAAAAATATAAAATCTACATTTTTAGAGAAAAAAGATTTTTCTTACTGCTGGTTATGGATAATAATATGTAATAAAAGTATAAATATAGATACAAATTTTGTCCAACTGCCTATTAATATCATTTTTATTATTTTTTAATAATAATTTGAACATTTCGTCCATTTTAATTTATCTAGAAACAAAAAGATTATATAGAAAAATACCAGAACATAGAAAGTATTTCGAGGTCTTTGTTGTTGAAAGTTGGTTTTTTACGTAAAATAAGTATAATATTTGGAATTAGCATGAAAAATTACACTAGAAATTCTATTTTTTTTATTATAAAATATTTTCCATGAGAATTTAACCCCTACTCTCTCTCAACCTTTTATCCATGAGATTTTTCTTCCTAGTCTCCTATGGGTCAAAAAAAATATTCTTTTGTAAAAATTTATTCAATATTATTTGATTTTGTGATTATATTTAATTGTTTAATTAATGTTTGTTTATCGATATTAAGGACTCTTTTCCTTACGGATAGTTTCCCACTTATAACGGTTCGTTTGAAATGAAATATTCAGAGATGACTGGCTCTAGCGAGAAACGGTTATGAGAGAAATTTTAGTCCAAGACGTCTTACTAAAGCGAACTTTCAGCTTGTTTATATAGTTTCTATGAGAAATGAAATAACTTCATCAATAGAAGGGATACGGAGCTCGAGCCAATTTTAAATTAAAGCTAACCTCTAATTACAACTTTTCTCCGAATGGAATTTTAAAATTTTCTTCCATTCATTTTTTCTGACCATTTTAATAGATATGGTGTTCCAAACGATACTCAATTCCATTTTTCTTAGCCTTGGAATCCAATACTAAAAAGATGGTCGGACAAAAGTTAATTCCTCTTTAGAGCGTTAAAACAAGAAAAAAATTATCTGTTATAACTTGAACCGGAACAGAGTTATTTCAGTTTTTCTAGTTGGAAATCATGTTTTGAGAAAAATGCAAGAAAAAAGTTTTATAAATGAATTTTTTCATTAAAATCCAGGAAGATCATATTACAATAGTATTTTTTAAATATATGTCAACGAACTGTTTTAAAGAAGATAAAAGATAAGGATAGCTAACGCCATTTGTTATGCTGATTAATATAATATCATCAATAAATTGAGTCATTATTGGAAATGTTTTATAAAAATTTTTAATAAATTCTTCTGCTTCATTTATATTCATATGTGTTTCATGTGCAAATGTTTCTTTTGGCATATCATAGAGAGTACCATAACAAATCTTAAAAATTATAAAAGAAAAGATTTAGATGAGTAGATATTAGGTTAATACTTGTTTAGCATTTTGATGTTGTTCATGTGTTATTTCATATTCTGTTTTTTTTAAAACATCAGCAGCAAGTGATATAAAAAAGTCAGTATCATTTATTAAACGTGTTTTTAATTTGCTATCATTGAAAAGATGAACAAGAATGCGTAATTCCAATTGAGAATAATCGAATGAAACAAGTTGAAAACCTAGAAAAGAAGACAACATTAATTTATGGATGATTCCAGTCGATTTTTTTCAATTCTCTTCATCGTTCAATGCCAAGACAAATTCCATTGAATAATCTTTGAATATAGTTGCTTATAGATTTATTTCAGCACCATTCAGATCTACTAGAACTCATATCAATTCAAATCTTTTTTCATTATAAAAAAAAAATGATTTTATTATTTTTTCGCAATTTATTATTACCTGTTCGAGCAATAATCATTTGTCGTAATCGAACTATTGATTCTTTTGCTAATGATTGAATAATAAAACGTTTTGAAACACGTTGTAATGGTGGATTCATAATAATCATACGGTCAATTGCTGTAAAAAAATGACATTGAGCATAAGTACGTTCAGTTTGCCATGGTGTTTCTCTTCGCAAACGTTGTAATGATTGTGGTTTTGTTGGTTCATTAATATACTAGATCAAAAAAGATAATCATAAAATATTTTCATCGTTAAAATTGCTTTTCTTTTTACCTGTTCAAAATGATCAATACATAGATCAAGTGCACTTTGAACTTGTCGATATTCAGCAATTCATTTTGATAACGGATGTTTATCAGCTAATATATTTAAATAAGATTTTTTTTTAGACATATACGATCATGTGGTGTTCGTTGTACTGGTAAATGAAGTTCACCATAGAGAATCTAAGAATATATTGAATTAAATTTTAATACAACAATTATTTTTTTTTTTTTACTTTAATAAGATCTTTTTGTTGATTTATTTTAAATCGACGTTTAACTAAACGATATGCTTGTAATTCAAGTTTATTCATTAAAGTCTAGAATAAAAAGAAATTCATATATATATAGATAAGGGTGTCCTGAAAGTCATTGACCAAAAGTTTTTTCGTGTATCTTTACTATTTCATTTAACTTTATCAATAAAATTTTTTTTAAATTATAGGTGAATATACCAAGTTTTTATTTATCCGAA